CAGGCCCTTATGCTTGCCAGGGAAGCACTTATTCTACTGAGCCATCTCCCCGGTCCCAAAACCTGAACATTTGAAAAGAAATTAATATAAAGTACATCTGACTATTTCTCTTTTTTTTTGGAGGAACTGGGGATTGAACTCAGGCCCTTGTGCTTGCCAGGGAAGTACTTATTCTACTGAGCCATCTCCCCGGCCCTATCTGACTATTTCATACAGCCTTCCAGAGTAAAAGCTCTTCCACTCACTCTGCTCTACGCACTTGTCTGCCTTGTCCCCTGAAGGTATGGGTAACAGACACAAAGGAAAAAAGTTCAACCCCATTAGGATATCAAAATAATAGTCAAGAAAACATGGAAATTGAGGGGACATAGTCACACATGCCTGTAATCCCAGCATTCTGGGAGGGTGCAGTAAGAGGACTGCAAGTTTGAGCCCAGGCTGGGAAATATAGTGAGATCCTGCCTCAAAAAAAAAAAAAGCTAGAATGTAGCTCGGTGCAAAGGCCCTTGGTGCAATCCCCAATATCACAAACAAATGAACAATAAAAACAAAACAAAGCAAAACACACAAATTCACATCCTCTATAATAGTCATAACATCAATTTTTTTTTTTTTCCTGGTACTGGGGATTGAATCATAACATCAATTTAACAGTGACTAGATAAAGCACAAACACACAACAACAAAACATACAACAGCAAGGGAATACATAAGAATGGTTTACTTACTATTGTGAAATGTTACAGAACAATGAAAAATAATGCTCATGGATAGCTGGCTTGAGATAGTGTGCTGACCACTTCCCTGAGGCTCCAGTAAGAAATGACAGAGCCACAAAAAGCTACAACCCACAATAAAGAAGAGAACAGAGTGTCCACTACTGGTTGAGAGTGTCCATCACATTTTTGGAAGGCATGAAGCAGACAGCAGAATGACTGGTAAGACAGGGGCGAGGAAACTGCAGCCTAAAGCAGCAGCTGCTTTCAGCACAAAGCAAAAGCATTTCTTTCTTTTTTTTTTTTTTTTTGCGGAACCGGGGATTGAACTCAGGCCCTGTGCTTGCCAGGCAAGCGCTTATTCCACTGAGCCATCTCCCCGGCCCCGCAAAAGCAGTTCTGTGTTCAACACTGACCAGTAAAGAGCAACAAACACATCATAGCAAAACACAGCCCAGAGTGATAAAGTGGCTGGACTACAAACAAAATTTTGTAACTTCATGTAAATGGCTGCATTATTTTTATAACTAAGAAAAAGCCTACAGCAAAGTGTAATTCCATATGAAATAAGATTTAGAAAAACACTAGAAGGGGCCAGGGAGATGGCTCAGCAGAATAAGTACTTCCTTGTCAAGTGCAAGGGTCTGAGTTCAATCCCCAGTTACACACACACACACACACACAAA